GTTCATAAGCAGGATAGCACCTAGGGCGGGGTCCCATACACCGAACACCCTTCCCGAGCGGGGCAATCAGCAAGTGGAGGTCGCATTTAATGCTGGATCATGACAGCTGCAAGTGGGGGCATGGGTGCTTACATGGCAGAAGTGATAGCCTACCAGATTCGGCCACGTACCCATCTTACCCATCCCCATTATAGTATAAATACCCCAGTTTAGATCAGTGTAAGGGGTTAGCATTTTAATACTCAGAGCTTAGCAATAGATTTTACATCTTCCATCCTTGTAATCTCATATTCATCTACCGTTCGGGTAGTTCTAGTGTAATCACATATTTATCGAATACCAGTAAGCTTCTGAGTTGAACAAATATCTCACTGTTTTATATTTTATACACATTTTAATCCAACCCAATATCCCTACAAAATCCAAGGCTTGTGTTGGGCTTTCGGATCTTCGGGAATAAACTTCAACAAGCGTATTAGCAATTTTTTAAATGTTGTAATATTATTTATAAAGTATTAAATAAATTACATAATTTTGAAAATTTTAAAATTTTACCGGGCCCGGCAGGCCCGGTGGACTACCCGGCCCGCTCTTACGGGCGGGTATGGACATGGGGTTAGGCCCGTTTTTTGCGGGCCGGGCCGGGCCCGCCCACACACGATGGGCAGAAAACTTATGGAAAGCCCGAGCCCGGCCCGAACCCGCTTTTGTGCAGGTCTAATTTGTGGTTCATATCATATCTCTCTCCTCTACACTAACTTCAATAAGATATTGTTTACTTCATTATTTCTCCTGTCGATCAAAACTTCACAAAGTATTTAGGGACAGAGGGAGTATTAAAATGGGCGGGAATTTTACCTCCAAAAATTCTAATAACATTGCTACCTTTTACATATAATATATAAAAAGTATGATTACTATTATGATTACTATTACTACTACTATTACTCCTACTACTACTACTATTATTATTATTATTATTATTATGTTGTTGTTGTTGTTATAGTAGCTAATGTTAGGACCGTATAATAACAATGATAGCTTTACCATATGGGAAAACGTACTTATATCAAATTATTTGTTCTAATTTTGTTACATTGATTATATTTTTATAGTTATTGAAGGATTTATTCATAGTTATTGAAGGATAAATCATAAATGCATCCATGTACAACTTTGGTACGATGGTGAGAGCATCTTCCATTTTACCATATATAGTACGTGTGGTTAATGCATTCTTTTCCAATTTCATAATCATTGATTGATATCACAACTTTAATATCTTTGAAATTAAAAATTTCTTTCTTTCTTTCTTTTGATCATCAAAACAGGCTTCTATTCATATCAAAAGATTCAAGATCATTACATCAAGCAAATGGAAAATAAAATTGACATCAACTGAAACTCCAACAATTATGACTGTAACCCTATGGTGAGACTTTGAGACGGTCACCCCTGAAAGAGCAACACGAGTCGCTAACCATGTAGAGGGCTTGACACAGCCAAACCTGTTCCCATAGATCCAACCATACCTAATGACATAAAGAGAGGCTAAACACTCAAACAATTTGTCAAATCCAACAATAAAGATGAACACAAAAAAACAAATGACAAACAGAAAAAATTACTAGGAAAACTTTCACGGACTCTAGCACCTCATACAATCCATGGTGGTGGTTCAGGCGGAGGTCAGACCGTCGCTCGATTGATACCCTCTTTTAGTGGCGTACCCACCGTGTGACCCAAATCCATGTCATCGAATGGTGCGTTTAGCCTCTCCACGCTAACCATGTCCCGATCATCACTACGTCTCTCTCTCTCTCTCTCTCTCTCTCTCTCTCTCTCTCTCTCTCTCTCTCTCTCTCTCTCTCTCTCTCTCTCTCTCTCTCTCTCTCTCTCTCTCTCTCTCTCTCTCTCTCGCTCGCTTCTTCCACCATCTTCTCGCTTCCACGATCATCCATCCCGAGCTACGTCCAAACCACAGCAATCCGGCGCAGTGCTGCGTCGATTGAAAGAAACGCCGCACTAGGGCGGTGAAGAAAAAATCCTACGCGAGAGATCTCGCTAGGGAAACACAGACCAAACTTCGATCAAGAAAGATCAAAATCGGAAATAACCATACGTGTGGTTTTCTTTTCAAATGGCAAAGGTGTTTCCAATCATACCCTTAAAATGAGCTGGAATTTTCCCTCCAATAATTGTAGCAGCATTGCTACTTTATACGGAGTATTATATAAAGATAAAGATAAAGATAAGATCCCTACATGAGAATGCTAATCACAATCCTATTATAGAAGGTTAATCAATGTTCTAAAAGGTTGAATCTCCAACCCCAAGGACTCCCACGCTCCTACCCGACAAGGCATTTGGAAGGATGTATTATAGAAACTAAAATTAGCATTCGCTAAGTAAGATTCCACCCGATCCTGTAAAATAATATAATTTGATACGTGTATATAATTTTGTAAAACTTTTTGAAGAAAACCTCTCAAAGCATTTTATATCAATCATAAGAACAAAAATATTTATAAAAACTTCTTATCACACAATTCAAGAGTAAAATAATAATAATGATTCAAATATAGATACATATTTTCGTATCATAATAGTTCTAAGAAAAATACCAATATACATGAATCACCAAAATTCTCATTAAAAATTCTAGCATGAATCATATGCAAAAATGCAAATACTCATAACAAATATCCACAAATATATTTTCCAAACAAATATCCAAACCTGTTTACGAGAAGCTCTTTCCAAAACACATTTTCTCCAAAATACCACTTTCAAAAAAATAGCTTTTGTAGCTATAGTATCACTTATAGTTTTCAAGAATTAACTGATGTCTTATACCATATACTTCCTCCGTCCCGGTTAAATCTTGACATTTGCTTTTGGCATGGTGTTTTAGGAGTCCAATTAATAGAAGAACAAATGGCTTGCATGCCCTTTGACTTTTGAGGGGATTAATGCTATCCACTCAAATGTAAAAAGTGGCTGGGGTAGTGAAGGGTAAGTTATGACATTCAATGTAAAAGGAGTTGCCTAAAAAGGAAACGTAAAAATTTAAATGGAGGTAGATTCTATGGTACTCATAAGGTACCATACATTTGTCCACATGGACCAATAAGGATGTTGCAGTTGAATTATTTAAATCTAAATTAAAAATGATAAAGTGATTTGGTCCAATAAAATGAATGGTAGGTACGATACCCCATTTTTTAAAAGGGTACCGAAGTTGTCACCTTAAATGGAACGCCCCAAAAAAGAAAGTGTAAAGATTTAAATGGAACTGAGAGAGCATATTTGTACAATAATACCATATCATCAGGTAGGAATTCTCCATTGAGTTCCCTTTATGAAATCCATAAGGTTTATTTTAAAGATGGGCAAAACTCAAGATTCCTTGAGCCCAATGAGTTGGTGTTATTTACCACTCATCCCGGAATTCCGGCTCCCACCGACCACCTTTTGGAAGCTGAACTTCTACTTTAAGTGATTCCAAGCCCTTCGGTAGTAAGAAGCCCAAGCAGCCCGGTTAGTTTGTACCAACAACTCCTCAAAGGGGGTGTAAGTCACGGTGACTCAGTCAGCCCAATGGTAGTAGAACTTGTATTCGTGCGCACGCAGCGCACCACAGGTCCCTCCCAGCATACAGGAGCTGTAACCTCCACACGACCGCTGCAGATTTCGATCCTTAGTCAATATTCCAATTTTCCCACCACTCAACCAACTCAGCTACCCGTGCGGATTATAGAAGGCCAATCAAATTCATATAATTGGAAGATTTCGAATAAAGGTGCATACGCAAGGAGCTAAGTCAGTCACATGTTGAGTACAATCTCTATCTAAAGGAAAGTGAAGCTAGGATAGTCGAAATCACTTCTATCGTGAATTTGGTCGAACACACATTACAAATTACAATAGTAGATTACAATCTTGTTCTCTGTCTCTAGATATCGGTCAAATTACTTATAAGAGAGCCAAAATTTGTCGAATACATCCCATATGTTCACTGTCAGTTCGAAGTTCGAACTAACGCTTTTAAATTAGATGGTCAAGAATGTGATCAAATTACCAATATGAGGGGCCATAACGTGGTCTCATACACTTTATAAAGGGTAATTTGAATTTGCACCCCATATTGTTGTCTAATTTGGACTTTGCATCCTGTTTTTAAAAATTTTTGTTTTTGCACCACAATCCCATATGAAAAGACCAAAATGTCCCTCCATTAACAAAATTTTTTTGAAACGGGGTGCAAAATCCAATTTGAACAATAAAATGAGGTGCAAATTCAAATTACCACTTTATAGAAGTTAAACATGGTCAAATTCATGAAGATAGTACGAGTACTGATTTCTTATATACTCCGTATTGTATTAGTACTCTTTTTTGATGAAAATGCGTTTTGCAATCTATTTATGTAGAAAAGATTGTTGATATTACAAAGCTAGTAGTGTTATCAAGGTACCGGTACATTGTTTATTTTCATAGGCACCGTAGAAGAACCCATGAGGTTGATTATGGCAAGAATGTTGCTCGAAGGTACATCGGTGACTGGGTGCGAGTAGTGTGCGACAGCCTAAAGGGAGAGTGTGATCACATGGCCTCAGTTTGATCATGATTTCTCTGATTACAATGTTTGAAGTTAACTAGAAATGGAAGGAGTATACCGAGCTGAGAAAAAGGACCATGATGGTTACGGAGTTAGAACCAACATTTAGGTGACTATTGGAATTTTGCCCAAGTACACAAAAAATGTCGAGTCACTTTTGGAATTCCTTATATCGGGGGATCCATGAAAGAATCACCCCATGGGCGTGTATTAGGGCAGAGAGTTCAAAGAGAATTTCTCATTCGTATTAGGTTCCCAAACCATTAAGATTAAGATCATTAATGGTAGGAACAACATACTCTGGAGGTTGATTAACAAAATCAGATCGGAGTTTGAAATCATTAGGGAAAAGTTACATGAAAAAAACTACAATTGCTTTCTTATGTAACTTCCGTCAATTTACACAATTTACCGCAAAACACGTTCACGTTACACAAATTAACATGTCCGCATAATTTGAGAGTATGTTAAAACCTGCACGGGTAACATAGATTCAGTGATGAAAAATTCGAAGGAATGACCAAAACTCTCTAAAGGGCCTAACACAATCAACTGAATGAATAAGCATTGAGGGTGGGGATTCAACAGGAATTGGGAGTTTGTGTTGAAATAATTGACCAACTAGTAAACAATTTTTCAACACTTTCACCTACGGTTATTGTGTGATTGTTAATTGGAAGAAACTTATGTATTCCATGTTGAATTGTTCTTAAACTTAAGCTTTTATCAACTCCTACGGTCCTACCACATCCATCGGTATTATCGCTAAAATAAAAGGCACAGTCTGGAAATGAAGAAATATAACACCAATTATTAATTAATTCTATACTCAGAATAATGAATCGCTAATAAGAAAGAACAAATGAATCAAAGAATATATATTGTGATCATAACTTCCAAACGTTTTGGGTGAAAACTAAAAAACTACATTAAACCAACGTAGAACATGTTGACGTCGAAGGATCGAACAACGACGGCAGCAAATACTTCCGGCCATTTACTCCGAACGCATTGAAACTGGCACCGGTGGTAGGGTCCACCAACAGGTTACCGGCATATCCAGGGTAGGCCCCACTTCCGTAAACCCCGGTGCAAGCCGAGGCGGCTTCAAGCGGCGCGTCAGCCGGACCCTGGAAGAATCCGGTTCCAAACGGGTTCGTCACGGTCCCAGCCAACAGGCTCGCCAAGTTGATGATGATCCCGTCCAGGCCCACATCGTTATTGGGCGCCACCAAAGGTTGGGCCTGTGGGCCATAAATGGGCTGGTGGAAGGGCCACGCGCACTTCCCCGGGCACGAAGCCTCAGAGTTTCCGACCCAGATGTAGGCAAACTTGTAGTTCTTCCCTCCGGCAGGGGCAATCTTGGAACTCAACAAAGACCCGTGGGTCCCGCACCTGCTCGTACAAAACCCGTCCACCATGACATCGGAAGAGGTCAAGACGACGTTGACCGCGTTCTTCTGGCCGCCCTGCGCGGCGAGCTTGTGAATATCTCCGTTCTTCAGAGACTTCCCCAGAGAGTAATCCTCGTCGAGGATCTGAACCCCCGACGAGAGGAGCAGGGAAGACCCCTTCTTGGACTTGAGCGCGCCGTAGTACTTCTCGGTGGCCTTCCACCACGTCGCCACTGAGGGCTGGACGGCGGCGAGCTTCCGGGGGCCGGAGGAAGACAGGGACGCGACGAAATCGGAAACGACGGCGCGTTGGGAAGGGGAAAACTTTCCGTACCAAATAACGTTCACGGTCACTTTCCCGGTGAGCAGGGAGCCGTTGTGGTACAGAAATGGGAAGGACTGGTCCTGAGCTGAGTCGGCGAGTCGCCTCGCTGCGAGGGAGGATTGGGCGATCGAGAGAAGGAGTACGGCTAGCTGAAAGAGAAGTACTTTGATGGAAGCCATTGGAAATGAAAGATGTATTAGCTGAGGAGAATGGATTATTAATGAAAGTTGAATTGGAAGTGAGATGGAAGTAAAAAAGGAGGAATGGGTATTATATAGTCCAGAGAGGAGAGGATTAGAGATGGGCGGGAGACGCGTAATGGAACGAGTGGAGAAATAGGGTTTGGGGGGTGGGGAGTGGGCTGTGACTACAGCTAAGAGAAGGATGGGTTTATGGACAGCTAAGATACAGCCTGCTGGTCGGTAAAATGACAAAAACAGAGCATTTCGGTCGTCGCTTACGGGGTAATGGGAAAGAGGCGTTTTTTATTTTTATACTCCCTCCGTTCTTTAATATCAGTCCCCTTAGGCTTTGACACGGGTTTTAAGAGTAAAGTAGTAGGGGTAGTGTAAAAGGTGTAATGAGTAGTGGGTAAATGAAAAAATAGGAAAGAGAAAGGGGTAATGGTAATAAAAGTGGGGGTATAAAGGTATATTTAAAGTAAAAACTTTCCTTAAATGGAAAGGAGGACAGATAAAAAAAAACGTCCCAAAAAAGAAAGAAGGACTATTAATAAAGAACGGAGGGAGTATATACCTACTTGAACGTAATTTTGCATTTTTAAATTCACACAAAGTAAAAGGACACTACATCTAAGGAACATTATTATTGAGATAGTGTGGGGCAGGTAGGGTTGAGCATGGGTCAGTTTGGGATAGGTCGGGCGGGTAAAGGTAAAACCCAGAAACTTGTTCGGGTTTCGGGCTAATTTTCACTTACCTCATTGGTTACTAGTGTATAAAAAATACTCTCTTCGTCTCTTAAAACTTTGTCACATTTTCTTTTTGGGACGTCTCAAAAAATTTTGTCACTTTCCCTTTAATCAGTTATTGTGATTTCTGTTATTTCTCACTCTTCTGCACAAACATCAACCACAAAGTTTTTACTTTATTATTTTCTGTACCGATCAAATTTGACAAAGTTTTAAGAGACCGAGGAGGGAGTAGTAAAACCATTTGATATGGTAAATTTCGGATATAGTTCGAGTACGAATATACTATTCATATCATATGGAGTATTTGGTAAAAAAAATATTATTTCTGTGAGCATAAGTTACATAAATGAAATAAAGAAAATAGTCAATTCACAATTAACAAACTATGGACGTGTGTAGCAAATGGCTTAGATAGCTTAGTTTCAAAAAATTTATAGATTGTTTGGGACATATACAAACATTTCAAATACATGGCAACAGCCTTAGTTACCTCATTATAACTTGGATCACAACCAAACCAATAACATTTCAATTTGTTGAGGAACCTTTCATCCTAATGAGCAAAAGATTTAAATCACAAAGAGAAAATGTAATTGTGTTACATTATTTACAAGCTCACATCGGGGAGTCGCACACATGATAAAAAATAAGATTTGTCGTCAATGCCACCATTAATCATTTTTGCTGTCAATTTTGAGCATAGAGAATCACACCTGCATGTCAATCAGATTAGTCATATGAAGTTAAGGGGTAAAAATGACGTAGATGTAGTAAATTTACTTCAATCGAAGCCACATAAGATCCAGAAACATACACACCAACAATGTTACCATCAGTTAACTATGATAAACAAACAAATAAAGTCGGAATTTAAAAGACAAGTTCAAGGTTACAATGTTAGCTGAACAATTTTTTAATCCACACCTATTTCGATCACCTCTACTTCATCGATCTATATTTCTTAAACTGAGATTTAGAGACTTACAGGTTGGTTTTACATTCTCATCCAATCTTGGGTGTTTTTAAGCTTCCACGATGGGAGGATGTAAGTTGGACTATAATCACAACCTGACAGATAAAGAGTGGGGCTCCGTCCCCGGTACTTGCAGAGGCCCTATGCATTTTTCATCATAGTAACCCCTCATCGCAGTTGCCGGGATTCGAATCTGAGACCTAACCCTTGTGGCACTCCCTCGCTACGAGTGGAGCTACGTCCACCGGTTGGACACCACATATAAGAATATTATCATTGAGAGTGTCGGGCAGGTAGGGTTGAGCATGGGTCAGGTTTGGATCGGACGGGTGGGTAATGGTAAAACTTGTTCGGATTTCGGGCAAATTTTCAGTTACCTTACTAGTTACCGAGTAGTACGCTGTAAAAAATTGTAAAACCATTTGGATATTGTAAATTTCGGATATAGCTTGGGAGTATTATACTACTACCTGTATCATACAACCTGTATCATACAGAGTATTTGGTTAAAAAGATTATTCCTATGAAGATAAGTTACATAAATTAAATAAAGAAAATACTCCCTCCGTACCCGAAAGAAGTTCCCACTCTCCTTATTTGAATGTCCCTAATTTAAGTTCCCATTTCCTTAAATGGAAAGTTATCTACATCAAAACAGTGTCAAACAATGTCGAAACAGTGAAATTTACCCCCTAGTAAGTTTACTTGCATAAAAGTGTGTGAAAGTCAAATGGAGAACTTCTTTCGGGGACAGAGAGAGAGTAGTAAATTTACAATTAACAAACTGCTGAAGTGTGTAAACGTCAAACATACTTGCATAAAAATGGCTTAGGTAGCACATTTTCAAATTTATATTGGGACACCGGACATATATAAACATTTCAAGTACAGTACATGGCTTGATGGCTGTAGGGCTACAACCATGGTTACTTAGTTATAAGCCCGTTTGGTAACACTAAAATTGGCTGAATGAGTTGATTCTGCTGAAATTTATGAAGTTTTGTCTGAAGTCTGTGTTGTAAGACCCGAACCGGACCAGTCGGTTCGACCTGGAACCCGCCCACCCGGCTCAAAATCCGGTCCGCCCAACTATTCAGTCACAAAAAAACTTTTGATTTCACGTTGAATAGTTTAATAATCAAAATAAGAATGGTTAGAGTTACTTTTGTGACTGAATTAGTCGAAGTTCCTTTAAAAGAACTTTTAGCTATTTTCATACAATATTTTATTTATCTTATTAATAAAATATATTTCAAATACATTTGTTTTCATAATTCAGCAGAATCAATCATTCCAACCAGTTCAGTTAGAATTTCATAATTCAGTACAATCAATCAATTCAGTGCTATCAAATGAGCTCTATTTGTCCACTGTAATTTGTTTAGGAAGATTTACATTAGCCTAGACCATTTTTTTTATTATTCAGAAAATTTACCATTAACCATTTCCCAACTTTTTTTAACCCCTGGGGGCGTCGAGGGAGGGGGGTTGGAGGACCTGTGTAAACTAGGAGCGCGAAATAAAAAATTATGTATTGGTCAAAACATTGGCTGATAAGCCGAAAAATTGAGTCTTCTAACGAACTAATAGAAGTATGTTTTATTTCCAATGGAGGACTTATTTGATTATATTAGAAGTGTCAAAACATGCTAATAGAAGTGATTAGTCATATTTTAAGAACAAAAAAGTGACTGACCTATTTGTTTTGGTCGTATTCAAAGAATTTTCTCTAATAAAGGTTGTATGGTATAACTTGATCTAAAACACGGCAAATTCTTTCTTACCCTCAAGGAACCATACCTTGTCCTTGACCAATTAATTGCAATTGAACAATTAATTTAAACACAAATGAATGATAAAATGATGTATGATGATTTGGGTCAATCAAATGCGTGTTAGATATGATATCATTTTTTTTATAAATACTGTATATTAGATGTGATTTAAGCTAAGAGCTCATTTGGTAACATGAAAATCGGCTGATTTGGCTGATTCTCCTGAAATTTATGAAGTTCTGGCTGAAATGCCTTCATTGGCTGATTCTGTTGACTTAAGAAAAAAAAATTTTTTAAAATATATTTTATCAATAAAATAAAGAATAAATTATATGTAAAAATAGTTAAAATGATCATCTACAACAACTTCAGCCAATATAGCCAGAAAAGTAACTCCAACCTTATTTTTTCTGCTTATTACATAATTCAGCGCGTGAAAGGAAAAGTTACGTGTTTGGTAAAAAAGATGGTTGATAAGCCTGATAAGCCGAAAAACAGTGTTGCCAAACGGTCTTTAAGCTTTTAAATCACATCTAATTTTTTGTTTGTGAATATATTTTCTGACTTGTGAGGTAGTTTTTACTAGAGTTGAACAATCGAATCAATTCAAATTAAAATCACCTGAATTGAAAAGATTAACAGTTGTATGATGTTTTCAGCTGGATTAAAACATTTTGATTTGATCCAATTTGATTTATTTAGTTCTGATATGATATTTATTTACTTTGTTATATTTATAAGTCAGATTTTATCAAAAATAAATGCTTGGTTGATTGCTGTTTCCTTAAGTTACTTATTAATTATTGGGCCATTTGTTATTGGGCCTTACTATAAGAATATTAGTAGTTCTATCCCATTGTATAAATATAGAGTATATATACTGTAGTTCACCATCGACCTAATTAATTCTCTTCAACATTGTTCTAGCATAATACTCAGATCATCTTCTTCAAGTTCTCTTCTCCAAGAAACCATTGATTTCAGTTTTACTATTGTAATAGATTTGATAAAAAATAATTTGTTTGAGTCTAATTTGATTTGATTTGATGCAATTTGAAATTAAAAATAATTTAAATGAAAACATTCTAACAATTTTTAATCTTTTTTTGGAACAAATTTTAATCATTAAAATCAATATTTTGATCAATTTTCAAACATTACCATTGAAAAATTGAAAGTCAAAAGAACACAACACTTTTGCCATAATTGCTTATTTTAATCATTACCTTCCAACACAACCTTGCCATATTTATATGATTTTAAATCATTCTTACTTTATTTTCACTCTATCAATTCATTATCTACCACATAACTCTATTTTTTAAAATGTACCAATCTCTTTTGTCTCAATGTTAATTGAATGAAGTGTGCATAAGAGTTGGAAAAAAATTGATTTATCTTTCGGGTGAGAAAAATACGGAGTATATATACTATAAGGTCAATGAACCTCAACTAGAATAAAAAACACTATGATTGATAAAAACAATCACTTCACATGTTAGAGTTAAATCAATTAACAGAGTCTGACTTTGGAGTTTCCGTACAATACATTGTCAACCTTAATTGGCTCAACCTCAATTAGCTTCATGTATAAATAAATGCGTTGGAGCTTAATAAACACTTGAACAGCTCTAGAATAAAAAAGAAGAAGAGATTTAATTAGCT